GTCACTAAGCCTACAGGTTAGGGACAAAGAGAACAAATGAGAAATTCAACAAGAAAAAGGAAAGAATCCCTTTTTAACATAATTAAAAAGTTTTATTTTGCAGAAAAAGGAAAGACTTGTTAAAGATGGCTCCCAATGAGGCTGCTACTCAAGGCTGCTATGCTTTTCTTTCTGTTTTAACCCACTGTTCTGTTCAAAGCATGGGTTCTAGATGAAAACTGTATCTTGGGAAATAAGGTAGCATATTTCTTTCTATGAATAAGATCGATTAGCTGAAATTTGTTAGCTCTATAAAAACTTTAAGACATCAAAATTGACAGAGAGATACACCCTTCAAATTCAATGTAACAGAATTTCAGTTTCCTGCCTATAAAAAAAGTGTAAGAATCCAATCTTTCAATGAAAGAAGACTATTTCAAAATTACTCAATATAACAAAAGGGTCAATAAAATTACTATTTTAAAAGTTAACTGCTTTCTGGTCTAGACTTTTGAACCAACATGAACAAATTCCTGAATCGTATCTCAATTTATTTCTTGCAATAAACAAACTAGCAAGTTAAATCTGAAATATTCTCAAAAATAAAGCTGGTCCTGTTCAACTATTCATTTAAAAATCCTATTAACATTTTTTTATGGTACACAGAAAGTAGTTATATATTTAATGTAAGAACAATTTATAATTTAATTCTAGAACAGAGAGTAAATAAGATACGCAAATAATAATGAGAAAGTATTACTGCCAAAGTCAGCAACATATATATAACAGGCTAAGGTAAATTAAAGGTTTGTTTATCTAAAAATAGAAAATAAATATTAAATTCTGATAGTTACTACATTTGTTGAAGAAGAAAAAGTGATTGTAGACACATTTATCCTCATGGTCTGGAAAAGAATTTCAACTAAATTTTCCTAAGTCTAAATCAACTGAGTCCAACAGGCATTAAAACTATAAACATGAGGCTATCCAAGGACAAAAAATCACTAAAAATTAAAGGCTAAGATAATTTTAAATTCACATAAATTGAAGTCTTATGAATTCAAAGCTGAATTTAAAAAACCTAGAACTCCCCAATTTGTTAACATCCAAAAGCTTATTAAATAACAGATAAAGAATAAATGGTATTTTACATATATTCTGTCGACATTCAGTAACTTTGATGTTTTGAAGTATTTTAAGCAATTTAAATAACCTAGTGAAAGTCAAACTTGTAATACACACTCAAGTATAAAATGTAAACTATGAAAGCTATGCTCATGAATGTGGAGCAAACATTTTACAAAGATTATATACATAGAACAAACAATATGAAGATGATATACATAAACACATTTCTGAAATGAGAGAAATATCTATAGCAACAAAACCACTTCATGGTACTTCAATATAGTAGTTAATACACTAACAGGTTTTACAACAAGATCAGCAGCATTCCTCAGATATTGAGTATTCTGGAAATGACAACGTAGAAAAAAAAACCTGGCTAACTTTGGAAGTAGCTATCAGGGCGACATTTTTTTCAAGTGAAGAAATCAGTTTCTGCTCTACCGCCCTCTGTCACTTACATTCACTCTAAATGTGTAGCTAACACCAAGCTTTCCTCTACTCAGGCCTCAGTGCTCTTTACCATGTGGGGTCTTGGTCATATTCCCCACTCAAACTGATCTTCAAAACTCAGCTCAGATACTGGTAGACTTTGATTTTTCCCTGTAAATCTTGGTTAGCTATGTCTTACAGTTTTCAGTATGTCCAGTGTAACTCCATCCAAGTACATCATGCTGAAGTGGAATTATCTTTTATTTGCCACTTCCTTCATTTCCTTTTTTCCTCCAAGATTGTTTCTCTGACACACTTGAGCCTAAAATAGTTTCTAGATGATGGATATAGTCAATAAGGACATTTCTTGAAAAGGCTTATCTGGATATAAAACTAAAAGTTATAGTCCTTGCTCACAGGCTCTATGAGTAAGTAAATGACTAATATGCTATGAATTTCACAAAATAATCTAAGAGTCCACTCGGATGTCACACTTCACTTTTCCTTGCATTTCATTCCCACATGAAATTTAAATTCTATAAATTTCACCCTCCATGAAATGCAGCCTTTTCCGACTTGACTATAATGCAAGTTTCTGTAATGTGAAAAAGCTCATTTGTGACTATAAAAAAAGGAGAATATAAGTAAAAAGAAAAGATCATGTTGGTTTATATGGGATTTTTTTTTTTCTAAGCATAGTTATGTTTTGTGTTAGAAGTAATTGCAGTTGATGTATGCTAACAGCTAATATCAGTTATTACTTTTAGAGCATAACTTTAAGAATTTGGGGATTTTTCTACAATAAAAATGACTACATAGATTCATGTTTGATTAGCCATATTAAATTTATTAATAAGTATTTATTTATTTAATAAGTTATTAGGTTATTATTTATGTTTCAAGACCAGCAACACAGGAGAAAAGGAAACTTCTAAGTCAGAGAAGACCACTTTGTTAAATAATGTCAAAGGTTCTGAACTGTTTATAGTTTAAATTTAGTAACTGGAAAGTAGACAATATAACTCACACTAATTTAAATGAAATTTGATCTAACTTATTGTCATTCTGATAATTTCAAAAAATTATTTTTATCATAGTCCTTCTGAGTTTAAAAATCTACTTATGAATGTATAGACTAGCCAGTAGCCTTGTGAATATAAAACAAATGTTAATAAAACTTTAGCACATAAAATCCAGCAGTATATAAAAACGATACCTCATGACCAAGTTGAGATTAGCCCAGAAATACATGACATTAAAAATACAGTTTATAGAATTTACTATATTAACAAACAAAAGAAGAAAAACCTTATCATCTCAGTAGTTTTAGCTTTTGACAAAACCCAAAATCTACTCATGATAAAATTCTCAGTTAACTATGGAAAGAAGGAACAAGGATTTTAAAATCATTATTACACTTAAAGGAAAATATGTTCATGAAGAATGCGAGACAGGAAATCTTAAAAATTAAAAACTATAAAAAACAATCAAATTAAGTCTTTAAGTAAAAAAAACCAATGCCCAGAGAAAATATAACCCAACAAGAAGAGCACTGTCTTTCCAGCTTCTTAACTTTCAGTCTCAAATTTCTCAGATTCCAACAAGCAATGTATATACAGTGCTTATGGTTATTATGTTAATAATATAATTTTTTAAAACCTGAAACAGATATGTATCAATAAAACAGAAATCTGAACTAGAAAAATTGATACTTTCTCAAATTTTTAAAATTTGTGGTTTGCAATTTCAATTTGAGAAGGCAAGTTAATTGATTCACTTACTAATCAAAAATTACTAACAGCCTACATGGTACTTAAAAGACACTGCTAAAAATTCTTTGATCTTCATGTAGCAATCTAAAAAGAAGACTTCACAGTTCTCTGAGAACTTTTTCTAGTGATGTAATTGTGTAACTATTTCATCAGATTAATTCTACCTAAAAGAGCCAAAAAAGGACCTAAATATATGTGGCACAGGAAAGATAACATACTTAAAATTTCAATTATTTTTTTGTATGAATTTCACATGACTAAATCTATCATCACATATACTTTCTAAAAATTATACAGGTCAGAATTGATAAATTTCAGATCCTTAAGGTAATTCATATTTCTGGTCTACTTAATATATTTTCATGCTTATTGAAAAACAAAGGTTCAAACACTGGAGAAGGGTCAAATTAAAGAATGTTCAGTTGAACTATAAACTATCTTCAGATCCAGAAGTGTGGAGAGAATTCATAAAACTAAGAAATAACACAGGGTAAATGCAACATAAGAGTATGCACTCTGGAATTAGAAAAAAAATGGGTTAAATTTAGGGTTTATTATCTTCTGCAATGCATGACTTTAAACTAGTTAACTGTCATCTGTAACACTCCTACACTATATTATTAATAAGTCTTGTTAATAAAAGGTTCTGTAAGTTTGTTAAACTACTTCAGTGCTTCTCAAGTCTTTAGTATATGAATACAGACTACAAATTTAAAAAAAAAAAAGGAAATTTAATATTTAGTAATAAACTTATCTGACCAGGATACCTACCTATCTTTCACTAAGCATCTCAGGGATCACACTGCATAAACTCTAAAAGGGGCTGCATAAAGCACTATAGAAGTGTTCATACCTCCTGATCCAATAGATAAATCCCTTGGCAATTCTTGTAAGTAAATAGGAAAAAAAAAAAAAATGAAGCCAATTAAGAATGAAGACACTCTGTGCAGCATTTCTAACAATAAAAATCAGATGAAACCTCAATGTCTAGTGATCCAGGAATAAGCAAACATACATCAATGTAAAAGACTGCTAGAATAGGCACTAGTTCTGTGGAAATACTTGCTAAAGTGAAAAGACAGATTCCAATTTTCTATTTAATTTCAACAATATAAAAATGTATGTATGGGCCCTCCCTGGTGGCGCAGCGGGTTAAAGCACAGCACTGAGAATCTAAAGCCGCTTCCTCATGAGTTCAATTCCCGCCTGCCCCGGAGGTGACCACATGGCGTGGCAGACCTCTCCTGACCCGCCCGCTGCTCCCCTCAGCAGTGCATTTCGTTGATCTGCCTGTTCTGCACTCCACTCTGTCTCTGGTGAATTCTCTCACCCTCCACATCTCTGGCCTGTATCCCAGTTCTGTATGCACAAATAAAAAAATAAAATCTTTAAAAAAAAAAAATGTATGTAGATGGATAAAGACTTGCAAGAACAGTGAAAAACAAAGCAAGATAATGCTGAAGAGAAAAGGACTAGGGTAACTTTTACTTTCTCTTTTATAGCACTGCAAACACAATAAAGAAAAAGTAGTATTAGGGAGGATGAGTGACAGATGCACATGTGGTATGAAAATGTACCCCTAAAAACAGTATCAGTAAGAAAGAAAAAGGTAAAGATTCTTCATTTAAAACTATTTTAGAATGGCTATTTTCATATTAAATTTCCTGATGATAAATGATATCTTAATTACAGGACCATTTAAAGACTGTCAGCATGCAAAAGACGCTGGGCATTCAGTCAGTGGAATTTATATGATTAAACCTGAAAACATCAATGGACCAATGCAGTTATGGTGTGAGAACAGTTTGGATCCAGGGGGTTGGACTGTTATTCAGAAAAGAACAGACGGCTCAGTCAACTTCTTCAGAAACTGGGAAAATTATAAGGTAAATCAGTGATTCAGACTTATAGTAGTTGGGACAAAGATACTCTTGAAATAGCAGCCATTCCATGCAACAGCTAACATACAGTTTAAAAAAAAATCCATATTTTTAATTATCTACATTTTATCAAAAAGATTCTCATTTTTGGTTTTAAAATCAAAGTTTAAAGTACTTTAAAATGTCCCCTCTTGTAGTCAGGATAATTTATACAAATATTTGAAGTTTTGCAAAGATCAGTTCTTATTCAATTTTCTAAGATGGTCATTTTTTTTTTATGGTCACTTTTGTACACACAATCAAGTATATTTAAACAACACTCAAAAAATGGCCCATTTAGGACTAATTACTTCGATAATCATGCTACCAGGTAGTAAGCTGATGACACTAGACGCTGGTTCTGTTCACATAGGACCAGAAAAGGAAAACAACTAGTCTTTGATAATAATTCTAAATTTTATCATGCTAATTTTATGAATGTATAACTTTTCAGTTTAATAATGCCAGGTAGATAAAATTTTCAAATGATTATTCATTCAAAATTTGTGAAGTAACATGGTAATATTTGCGCCTGGTTGACATTGTAATGGCAAGTAAAGCAAGATAATATATATTTATATCTATATAAATCTATGTCTGAGGTTCTGTAAACTTTTAAGTACTAGAAAATAAAAATTCTGCAACATAACTACCTTGAAAAGGTAGGAGGGCCCAAAGGAATATGGTGGATTATGGGTGTTTTGGTGGTGGGTGTGGTGTGTTAACATGAATCTACAGAGGTGTGGTTTTGTAATTCTGAATAGTGTACACTGTTAAAGAAACTTACACAAAAATACCCCCACACATTTAGTGTTAAGATGAGGTTTTCTAAATCTTCCATTTTGTTGCATACCAGCAAGGCAAATAACTACTGAAGTGGGATAGTTAACTCTGAAGATTACTATTTCATTCTATTTACTAATTTTGTTTAGAACTAAAAGTTTGTTCTAGAATAGATACCATGACGTTTATTAAATGATCGCAATAATAGCAGAAAGTTTTTTTTTTGCTTGATAATGGTGGGGACAGTAGCTACATACTATTGGGGAGGGGAGGTGGTCTGGCTCTTTGTATGAGGGCGATAAGAAATTTCCAAGGAACTGAGTAGTTCAAATTAGGGTTGAAGTTAGCTATATAAATAAATACCAATAAATTAAAAATAGCCTCCTGATGGTGCAGGAGTTAAAGACACAGCACCATCAAGCTACTGCCAGCCACTACACCCCAGGCCAGGCAGGGAGCTGACCCGCATGGTGCAGCAGATTTCTGTCTCACCAGCTGTTCCCCTCAGCACTGTATCTGATTAAATCTTCCTGTTCTGCTCCCCCCATTCTGTCCCCCTTTCACCCCCTGCACCAATAGCCTGTACCCTAGTTCTTGTATGCATACACATTTTTAAAAAAAGCAAATAAAGTGACTAAGTGGGGTTTCTAAAGATCAGATGACTTAGGGAAATTGAAGTTCACATTACCACTTAAATAACCAATATCTTTATGTTACAGAATGTGTAAAACTTATCTGCAAAAGAGTTTTATCATCTCTACTCTTATTTATACACTCAATGTTCTTTGTTAACAGAAAGGTTTTGGAAACATTGATGGAGAATACTGGCTTGGTCTGGAAAATATCTACAGGCTTAGCAATCAAGACAATTATAAACTGTTGATTGAATTAGAAGATTGGAGTGATAAAAAGGTCTACGCAGAATATAGCAGCTTTCGTCTGGAACCTGAAAGTGAATTCTATAGACTGCGCTTGGGAACTTACCAGGGAAATGCAGGGGATTCTATGATGTGGCATAATGGTAAACAGTTCACCACACTGGACAGAGATAAAGATATGTATGCAGGTGAGTAAGAAAAAAACTGATGGTGATCCTTTGTAGATTTCACACTTCTACACATTAACTAGAATGTTGTTACTAAAGTATATACCACTAAAAACCTTCTCAGAAAGGTCATTGCGGATTCAGTCAAAAGAATATAACCCAAAAGGAACAGCTTTTGTGACTTTCTCTGTAAGGCAAACTCACGTGTGAAGGTTCTATTGTTCTAACTATAGTTTGGGTCAGAAACACTACAAAAATTAACTCATCTGGAAACAAAACTAAACTCTCAACTGCCTAGATTCTGTAACTAACACCACCTGCATATCTACTGCATACCAAGCACTGCTGTAGGTGCCCATGTCACAGCAGTGAATAAAGTTACTGTTCTTACTCTGTAGGAGACAAAAAGATCTGTTAGGAGGAGGTAAGAATGCTAAGAAAACTAAAACTGAGTAAGAAAATAGAAAGTGATGAGGAGTAGTGGATGAAGTAGTTTGAGCGCTGTTTTATATGGTATGGCTAAGAAAGGTTACTCTGAGAAGGTAACTGTTTTATTTTTACATTACCTTTTGCTATTTTGGGAATTCTAGTCCCAAAACCCACTTAACTTGGTTTTGCAACTCTATCCCTTTTTTTCCGATCTCTTTCATTCGGTCTCATACACAAAAACTGCTTGTATTTTATTTACCTTGCTCTTCAGAAAATTGTATCACTTTTAAAGGCATGTGTTAAGCAAGCAAAGAGCAAGATAAAGGCAATTCAAGTGATCTTTCAAGTAACTGAAATCTAATCAACAAAAGTGAATAAAACTGTAAGATAACGGTGACTGAAATCAGAAGAACTCAAACTGTTGCAAAGGTTGATGATGTTTTTGATTGTTTACATAGTGCCACACTTAGAAGGAACACTTACTTTCACATGTTTTTTTCTCAAAGGAAACTGTGCCCACTTTCACAAAGGAGGCTGGTGGTACAATGCCTGTGCACATTCTAACCTAAATGGAGTATGGTACAGAGGAGGCCATTACAGAAGCAAGCACCAAGATGGAATTTTTTGGGCTGAATACAGAGGCGGGTCATATTCTTTGAAAGCGGTTCAGATGATGATCAAGCCTATTGACTGAAGAAGGACAGTCTCCAATTTAAATGACACAGAACTCTTCATTATTCAGTTTCTAAATATGTAAATGTCACATGTATATTACTTTACACAATGTATTTCTACAGAGAGTCTTAAAATCAATTTTACCAAAACTATTAAAGGGGATTTATGAATGCCAGTCCATGTTTCCTTAATACTACAGGTGATTATTTGTATCCTAGTTAGCATACAAATTGTACTGAGGAAGTATAGCAGCTTGTTTTCTAAAATGTAAATATTTGCCACAATGTAAAACAAATTCTAGCTTTATTTTAAATCAAAATTGAGTATGTGTTAAAGAGCCTTAAAAATTATTTAAAACTTTGAGACCACTCTAACTCCCAATGGAAAAATAATTTTAATATCTTAGCCAAATAAGCATTTTATTTATAAAAACACTGACAGGAAATTAGAGAAAACTCTAGTTTTGCCAATAGAAAATACATTTTGCATCGAATAAAAGTTATTTCAAATTGAATGTGTGCTTTTTACATGATTAAATGAGTTCTTCAAATAAATTTCTCAACATTATATTCATATAGTTTGATGATCACCAAAATCGCCTGAAAACAGTATTATCACAAAAATGATATTGGACCCTCGTTGGTGGCCCAAGGAGTTTGATTCCCACCTGGGGAGGTGACCCATATGGCACAAAAGACCTCTTCTGACCCACCTGCTGCTCCCCTCAGCAGTTCTTTGTCAATCTGCTGGTTCTGCTCCCCACTCTGTCTCTGATGAATCCTCTCACCCCCCCCCCACACCTCTGGCCTATCCCCCAGTTCTTGTATGCATAAATAAGTAAATATTTAAAAAAAAAAAGATATTACAAAAATGCAGACTATTTAATGGGCCAATGGCTTTACAAATTTGAATTATAACTATAGACTCATTAATACTTTATCTTCCTAATATACTGATCGTTAGTATTTGGGGAAAAACTATCTGCCTTTCAAGTCAGAATTCTTACAGCTTTACAAACATTGCTGTGTACTTAAGATTGGGACTAGAACAATTTAATGTTCCAGTGGATGTTTTCTCAATACTGAGATTCAAATTTTCTTTTTTTAAAGATTTAATTATTTATTCATATATAACTGGGGTACAGGCCAGAGATGCGGAGGGTGAGAGGATTCACCAGAGACAGAGTGGGGAGCAGAACACGCAGATCGACGAAGTACACTGCTGAGGGGAGCAGTGGGCGGGTCAGGAGAGGTCTGCCACGCCATGTGGTCACCTCCGGGGCAGGCGGGGATCAAACTCATGCGGAAGTGGCTTAAGCTTCTTAGTGCAGTGCTTTAACCCGCTGCACCACCAGGGAGGGGCCCCGAATTTTCTTTTATACTGTAAGTCTTTATGTAGTTCATAGTCAACTTCAGAAATAAACCATTAAAGAATGTTTGAGAATTTTAAATATATAAAAAGAATGAAGGTTAAAAAAAGATATAAACGAGGTAATGGAAAATAGGGATAAAATTCTAGCTAAAGAAAAAGGCAGAGCTAACTGCCTTTTGGTCAGAGCACATTCTCAGGAACCAAGAGAAAATGAGTGAACATGCTTTATTATTATTTTTTAAACATCATGTAATCAAAGCAGAAGAATAAGGTAAAGCAGTACACTATGTTGTATACTATCTAGAGTGTAAATTAAAGTGAGGAAAATGGAATAAGACTCATAAATATTAAAAGCCAATCACAATTTTTTGACCACTAGGTATTTTTTAGCTTAGTGCCAGAGCTTTTTTAATATATTCAAATCAAATTCTGCCAAAGGGGAGGGAAAGTGTCTCGTTAATTCCCACAAAGCTATAGAAAGCCTTAGACCTTGTTGAAATTACAGGACTAGAAATGTGAATAAAGTCAGTTTTTATATATATTTGTGCAAAAGTTCTAAGAAATTTCTAAAACTAATATAAAACTAAATAAAGAATCACATTTTATGCTAGATAAAGAAGAAATAGAACAGCTAAACAGACCAACTACAAGCAAGGAAATAGAAGAAGTAATCAAAACCCTCCCCCAAAATAAAAGTCCAGGACCAGATGGATTTACAAATGAACTTTACCAAACATTCAGAAAAGAACTAGTGCCTATTCTACACAGACTCATCCAAAAATTGAAAAAGAAGGAAAACTACCACAAACGTTCTACGAAGCCAACATCAAATTAATACCAAAACCTAACAAAGAAAACACACAGAAAAGAAAACTTCAGACCAATCTCCCTAATGAACACCAATGCAAAAATCCTCAACAAAATCTTAGCCAACAGAATCCAACAATACATTAAAAGAATAATACACACGACCAAGTGGGCTTTACCCCAGGAGCATAAGGATGGTTCAACATCAGAAAATCAATTAATGTAATCCATCACATCAACCGACAGAAGAATAAAAACCACATATCATATCAATAGATGCGGAAAGGCTTTCAATAAAGTTCAACACCCATTTATGTTTAAGGCCCTTGAA